CCCATTCTATTTTACAGGATGGAATTTCATCGAATTAGATTCACAAAAACCGTTAACTAGCTTTTTCATACGAAGTAAAGCATTTAGGTTTCTGATTTTTATCCCTTTCTGTTTTGGTAGTTTGATTATTTGTTTATGTATAACCGGATTGGCAATCCTTTCACTCTGATATATATGAAGTCATTCATTGTTTCTGTTCCATGTCTCCAACAGTGCTAGCTTCCCTTGTTCATAAACCTATCTATGATTTATTGCAAGTTTGCAACTCAAACTCAGTTCACAGGGTGAAGATTATAAGTCAAAACCAGAGAGGCAAGGCAATGTACTTATTTTTCTCAAAGGAGAGAGAAGCTACCATCAAATAGGTGGTTCTAAAACCAATGCAATTTTCGCAAATCTATGCAGAGGGTAAGTTGCAAATCACATGTATAATTAATGTCTGAGTAAAGGTTGAAGAGGTTTGGTTCCTAAAACCAGTGCCTCAACCAACTGAGATGGCATTACTAAAACTTGAGAAGTCTGAAACGCATGTGTTATCTGTCATATGTTATGGTGTTCATGGCATGGGAAGGGTCACCCATCAGCTCTGCATGCCTTTAAATTCAGACACATCCATTGGTAGAGTAGCATATGTGTTCAGAGCAAAGCGAGAAAATCTTCTATATCACGGAGATAACACTGTTTTCCTATCTCAATCAATCACATTTCATCAAACGTGATAAGTTTTTCACTTCGACAGCATTTCTGGACTATTTTGTAGCAAAGACAGAGCATGAGCTTCTAAATATGAGCACCACCAGTGGCTGCAGCATGGTCATACTCATACAATGCATGTACCAGAGACAGAGACTATGTACACATGAATGGAACATGAAAGCAGCATATATTCTTTTATCTGTCAATAATAAATATGATCAACAAATAAATCTGTATATTTAGATCATCAGGGGCCCCACATCCTATGTTTTAGATTAATATGTTTACGTTCATGAGCATGCTTCACATGAACTGCATGTGAATGGAACATGACAATAGCATATCAATTTGGGGCAGAGATGCATAACAAAAACATAAAATAAAACCAAATTATATATCCTATCCTCCATGAAAATTAAAGCCAAGAACATAACAGGCCAGTGGAGTTGAGTTGGACAAAACATATTTAAAGTTGCAACCACTAAGGGGATTTTTTTTCCCCCTCTTCTCTTTGAATAAATTCTGAGCTAAAGTTGTGTTTCACAGTTTCACCAACAAAAGAATTAAAAGACGCATTCATTACTAACCTCCATATGTAGAAACTGGTCAATTATAGCCAAGGTAAATTGAGTCCTTGAGAGCACCTGACAGATGTAATCTAAGTAAAACATTAAGTTTGATTTGATTTGATTTGATTTACAGGGTTTTTATTATTTGTGTCTGAAATCTGAATCCGTTATTCTTTGATCATCATCACCAAGTCGGCTGTGTACTTTGCTGAGATTCTAATTAAAATACCCACAAACAAGTCGGCTGTGGACTTTAGGGGTTTTATAAAATGTACTTTACGTACGGCACAACCTCACAGCAGGCAAGCCAGAAATGAGAACCTAGCTTAACGACAGGCATGCCAGTGAGTGTGTTTTGATCGTTGATGTGTGTGGATTTCACAATGAAATTTACATGAATTAACGGTGGTCAGTTACTGAGCGCACATAGCAAAATCATAACGATTAACATAAGTGAAATTAGAGATTATGGGAGAAAGCGACCACCATGTGACAGCCAGGCACCGTCCAATTAAACATCTATAACCACTTTGTGAGGAAAGCGCATTAGTAGAGTCTATATACCACTAAGCCATCACTTTTCAAATGCGCATACACGCAAAAGCCTAGTTTCCCAATTGCTATGCCTAATGCTATATAATATGCTAAATTTGGAAACAAATCAAAATCCTTGCTTCTACAACTGTAAATCCACACGAAAGCTGATTTGACTAGTTGATTGCTAATTAAATCACCATCCTCGATTAAAAGCTAAGGGCCGTTTGATAATCATTTCAATTTTAGTCTTTAGTTTTTATTTTTTGTGCTAGAGTATAGAGGGGAAATAGGGAGAATGGAAGTGAGAATGAGAGTGAAAATAGGATTGAGAGGGAAGGATGGGAGGGAGGATGAACAAAAGTGAAAACTATTGGAAATTGTTTTCACTTTTGTTACTCCTTCCTCCATCCACCCCTAAATGGTTATCAAACAGGCCCTAAAACAAATTTAGATAAAATAACATTAATGTACCGTAAGTACCATATTTACTCTGTTCGGCAATTGCTTACATTGTCATAATGCAAATTTCAACATGTACAAATCTATATGATTAATTAAGAATTCATAATCACAACCTTGTCAGACATCGTGACAACATAATATTTTCCGTTACATTTAATGTATCAGAATGTTCTTTTATCATTGTCGGGCGCTTAAGAAGAACTTGTGGTCACTCTCGTTCCTCGCTTGTTCCAATCCTAATAAAGAGCTTCGAATCCGATTCTACACTACATACGATATTCCATTCTAGCCCTCACTAATTTGGAAAAGGTCATCAAATGACTTGTCTTGTTCGGGTTTTCAATCTAAAAACGTGAATCAGATGAATTCTTGTACTTGAATATAAAGTGGTTTAGGATGAAGGTTGTTAAATGTTACATCTCATTCTATCTCAATCAAGAACATATCAATCTATGTACATGCTTGAAGCTCAAAATCACAACCTCATTGGTGGATTAATTGTTGTATTTAAAATTTCTCATTGTTTAGATAAAAGAATGGTGTTGAGCTTGTTTGTTAGCTATAAAAAAAAAAAAGGTAGATGCCAGCTTGGACTTGCGCCGGTGGATTGAGGTAAAAATTAAAATGGTTGTACGTGGAGAGGAGTAGTAGTACCAATTGTACACTATGGTGAGGTGGCGATTGATTGATCCAACGGGGTTTGGCTTGTTTTTGGGAAGAAAAAATAATATACCGTACAACAAGTAGTAGGGCATGGAACTCCTCTTTCTAACGGTTGGATCTGATGGATTCACCTTCCTCCTTAGGGTATAGAACAGTAAATACCGTTGGATGTTATGGTCACCTAGGTCATGTGTCGTGGCATTACGGCCACATAAACAATGCTTCAAACAAAAATCAAAATTGCGTGGCCGAGGATTTAATTTTGTTCTTGATGTGGAACCATGTACAAGATATGAAAACTCTTAAGGACAAAGACTTTGAGATAATCCACGATGGGTCCAGATTTATGTGAATTCAACAGCTCACTTAGGGAGGTACATTTCTAACTTCTTATGAAAGTACAAGTACCCTATGGGAATAATGAAGATTATATATCTAGGAGAATATCGATCGATCCATGATGGTATATGCCAGTTTTGATTAACAGAAGTAATACAATTAAGATAATAGAATGATAGATGAAGATTGAACTTTTGATGATTAATGTGGATATAGAATTATAGATAGAGAGAGTAACGCAAATCTAAATATAATGAAAGTGAGAGGAATGTTAGGTACTTTTTTACGTGTATCTTTCTCTTTATCTTCTCTCATCGTGTAACTGATTTGATAATCGGAATTGTCTATCTTCTAGGTCACTTTCTAAAGATCATTTATGTCAAAAACCAATTAAACCGGAAATTATTTAATGATATAATTGTGATAATGTTTTGGTTAAATTACTAAACGATTTTCAAGGAGAAAGAGGGCTAACATACTCTTATGAAGTAATTTGCATTGCAGCATTCTATGGAACCTAGGGCAGGGGCCCTTTTATTTAATTTGACATAGAAATGTCATTTTTAACATGCGATAGTCATGGTGGGGTAAAGTCCATTTAATTGGAATATCAAGGCACAATGTAATCGTGGACCAACCACAATAGGAACCGTGGATGGGCCGAAGATCGATCATACATAATGGTTGGGACCCATGATGAGGTCTGGCTCATGTTTGGTGGCTCTAAATATTATTTTGGTGTTTCAATGCAACATTGCAACCACCACCTGATCATATATGAATTTGGAGAATCACTCATCCAACACTCCATTTTCAATTTGAACCCCTAGAATTAAGCATGTTTATTAACCTCTCGCAGTGGGTATTGAAATGATTACAATTTTTGACTTCATCTATATTACTGATGCATTAATATCGAAATTATCTTGATTCCTGACTCTCTCTGCAGTTACTGATACATAACGAATTATATTGTGATTTTATCTGCGCCACCATATCTCACTTCACTATACTGACTGCTCAGTACAATTGTGATTTTTGTCTTGTACTGCTGATATTTGTATTTATCTTACAATATGATGTAAGATATGACAATTATTTTAGTTGCATGCAGCACTGACCATGGTCATGGCGCTATACGCTCGTTGATTGCCACCTCTCACAGAACCTCTTAATCATGGCACACGTACTAATTGAAAACCACCCCATTATCATCTTCTTTTGTTTCTCTCTGTTTCTTTTCCCCCTTGGGCTTAGCTCATAGAAAATCTTCCTGCCCACCAAGCCGAAGCAACTCGCAAAGAAAAGACAGGCTTCATACACATGTAACTTCTTTCACATCCTATATTACAAGATTGTTAGTTTAAGTGAACGTTTTTCATGAATTTTGTCAAAAACAAATACGCGCGGTTCAGATTAATAATTTCACGACATAACATATCAAATTATCAGATACGTAACAAGAAAGTGTGGCAATTCGAGACTTCGATAAAGGGGTCGACAGGAGAGGAAGGAGATAAGGGATAAATGAACAGTGAAACATGGGTGAAAAACTGGTAGAGATCAGAGTCTTAGACTACGAAAATAAATGGCTTGCGTGGTGCTCCTATAGAAAGGGACCCCATTGTACCATAGCCTATAGCAGCGTGGCCATTTCTCTTATGTCCCTGGCCCTCCCCTTCTCTCTCTCTCTCTCACTCTCACTCTCTATAAGTGTTGTATGACTCATTGGGAAATGAATGTAGCCAAAAGATAGACAAACGAAGTAAATTTAAGCTCTCTCTCAATACCTTTGCATGCTCCCACTTCCTTTCTTCTGTTAAGCCAAAGCTCCTCATCCTTCCACTACACAAAACCAACTACTTCCTTCACTCAGACATTTTCACAAACACTTGCAAAACACTACTAACAATGAGCAGCGATCAAACCCAAGGTTCAGAGACTGAGAGCAGCTCCAATTCCTTCACCTCCACAACACCACCTTCCTCGCCTTCCTCACTCCAAAACCCACTCTCAGCAAATCTCCAAAAACCCAACTCCCCAATCCATCAAGAAATCGAATTGCCCGGCAAGAAAAACACCAAACGGGGCAGAGACTCCAGCAAGCACCCGGTTTATCGGGGGGTCCGAATGAGAAATTGGGGCAAATGGGTATCCGAAATCCGCGAGCCCCGGAAAAAATCGCGCATTTGGCTCGGCACCTTCCCGACGCCGGAAATGGCAGCCCGAGCCCACGACGTGGCCGCGTTGAGCATCAAAGGCAACTCAGCGATTCTCAACTTCCCTGAACTCTCCGACTCGCTGCCTCGCCCGGTTTCACTCGCTCCACGCGACGTCCAAGCCGCGGCCTCCAAAGCCGCGCAAATGCACCAATTCGACGCCAACCCATCAATGTCGTGTTCCATGCTGTCCTCGTCCTCGTCTTCTTCGCTGTCGTCGCTCGTCTCTGCCATAGACAACCTGTCGACCGAGTCGGAGGAGCTGAGCGAGATCGTTGAGTTGCCGAGTCTGGGTTACGAGTCGACCGAGTTGAGAAGCGAGTTCGTGTTTGTAGACTCGGAGGACCAATGGGTTTACCCCCCTCCATGGCTGCAGCGCTTGGGGGATTGTGGCGGCGGGTATGTTTGCGATGAGTTGGGGACGCCGAGTTCAAGTGGGTTTGAGGGTTCGTTATGGGAATATAATTAGCAATTTGTTTGCTAATTAGCTGTTAATTAAGAGTTTGTGTAAATGTTTTTTGTTTTTTTTTTTTGTTTTTTTTTTGGGTCAAGGAGTTTGTGTAAATTTAAGTGTGAGCTTTCTCTTAATTTGCTGGGTTTTGTTTTTTTTGGCTTTCAGTTTTTGGCTCTTTTGGCTTTTTTCTTTGAAGGGCTTAAACTCTGATGATCTGCCTCTGTTCTTTACTCTGTTTTCTTTTTTTCTTTTTTCTGTGTAAGTGTACAGTTGGAGTAATGCTTAGGAATAAAATATATTTGCCTCTGGTTGGTAACTTTTGGTGCAAATATAATAAAGCCTCTGTCTTTCTTCTTTTTCTTCTCTCTCCTCCTCTGCCTATCTTTTCCCATTTCAACTTCTGAAATTCTTGTCCTAATTGGAAATTCCATTTGTGTTTCTGGCCATAAACAGTGAAGTATTACCAGTTAACTTCCATTGCATTCTGTCCTGTTGTTGGGAATTCATTAAAAATAAGCAGCAGTCCAAAAAAGGAAGAAAGAAAAGAGGGGGGAGAGATTGAGGGTCCTCCTCCATTTGTGCATCCAAAACCAGATGAAATAATGCAACAATAAGAACAACAACAGTGACACAACACGAGAAAAAAAGGAATAGTCCTTTCCAAAAAGGTAGAGAGTTGAAGTTCTTCTTAGTAAGGGTTGGGTTGGGTTGAGTTGAGTTATGATGAATGAATGTTGATGGTGTGATTTTTGGCAGATGCTAGATGGTGAAACATGATGAGCTGTGAATGGGACAATGACAGGGACAACTTTAATTTTAACCCTAAAGATGCAACAGCAAATAGGTCTGATATGAGCTAGTTTTTGCTCCCTTCCTCCTTTTAAACTTGAGCTCAGTCAGTCAGTTGATTTTTGGCTTCTGCTCTGTTTTTGGGTGGGAAAAAGAAAGGCCCGCTCCTCTTTTGCTCTGTTTTGGGTGGAGATGAGACAAATAAGAGAACCATGCATCTTTCTTTCATAGCCTGACCCTCAAGTGTTCAAACCAAAAAAAATAAAATCACTACCCCTCTATTTTAGTTTCAATCTCCAAATAATTATTCTTTTGAAAGCTACGTTCTCACCTGTTTACAAAAAAAAAAAAAAAAACCAGAAGGCTAGATATTTTGCACATTGCATTTTGTATAAGATTGCATGGTTGGATGGCATTATTATCTCCTCTATTTTTAAAGTGCATGCTTTCAAGTTTCAGCCAGTTTTTGGCCCCCACCCCTTTTTGAAATTGGTTTTCATGGTTGTAGCATGGGCAGACAAACAATATAGGTAACCATTGCCATAGGACTCTCCATGCCAAAGAGAAGGTAAAGGAGAAAAGAGCACAATGTTAGTGGCTAAAAAGGTAATTTTCAATTATTGGAGACATTGACCACTTTCAATTTGCTTCTTTTAGACCAAAGTTTTGATGCTCCAATCTCATGCACTGCAGGCCCTGTTTCTAAAATAGTATAGCACTTTGTGCTAATCATTCCTCTAATTAATTATTTAATTAATTAATGACATTACAGCCAACATGGTTTAGCCCAATGAAAAAAAAGCATTGATCAGTAAAAAAGAGCACTAAATTACAGACCATTGGTCTCCGATTCGAACCCCCATAACACTTTAGCAGTATGTGTGTGTGTGTGAGAAACTCTCCTCCCTTTTTAATTTGGGAGTTTCACTAAAACACCCAAAATAGAGGTTGAAATTATAAAAAAACCCAACACTCAAAACACTTTATAAACACACCCAAAACTCATCATTACACACACTCAAAACCCATTTATAAACACACCCAAAAAGTTGACTTTGAGGTTGATTTTGGGTGTGTTTCTATGTTTAAATAGTGCTTGGGTTTTTTTATAAATACATGTCTAGGATTGGGTTTATTTATAAATTTGTATTTTAATTTAGACTATCTTTTATATTAAAAAAGGTAAAACGTTACAATAATGTTGTAATAAAATAATAATAATAATGTAGGATCTTCAACATACATCACAGCATCACAACCGCAGGTCAAGTTGGGGTAGGATAATCTAGACTCTCTAGTAGTTGATGAATAAAAACACCAAAATATTAATTAGATATACATTTATATATAGGTTAGGCCAAAGGCCAATGGCCAATGGCATGTGTGAATTGTAATACAAACCTAACATAATTACTTATTTGAAGATTGTCTTAATTTCTATTTGTCAATGATTACTTCATCATGCTTTGCCTATTTCAGAATCCTAATCCAAAGATATGAAGCTGTATATATAAAATTAGGCAGTGCACTGCTCAGATTGGGATAAAAATCAAATTAAACAATTAAATAATGTATAATCAGAATTATGTAAAAGTATTATAGTGACGTTGTAACCTCTAATCTGGTTTATTTCTCTTGTTAGCTTGTGATCATGTCTGCGATAATCTGCATGGCCAAGCAGCTTTTCGAGCACCACATAATAATTATCTCATGTCAAGTCAGCTAAGTTAATGATAGTTTATGCATAAATTTGGGATATTTTTTGCTAACCAGTCCAAAACCTTCTTAATTATAAAAGGAAAAGAGGGTTTTATAGTTGTTTTTTTATTTTTATAGTTGTTTTTTTATTTATGTGGTGTCGATATGACGGTTTGAAACTCAAATTTGGTATTTCATAGCTTGGCAATTTCAGAGACAAATCCTATAACCTAAAACAAATCTCTGGATAGATAGAATATTATTAGAGACCTATCAGAAGCACACAGACACTAACATGCATATTGTGATGGTGAGTGGATTATATATATATATATATTCTTTTTGGGCTTATTTTTGGAATGCCTTATGCTTTGCAATTTGCCTCAATTGGCCTTGAATTTTAAAATGACCACATGTTTTATGAGCCACGTTACCCTCATTCCGTTAATTTAATCAGAAAAATTGTTACCTTGCTAATGTATCATGAGTATTTTGGTAATTTAACTATTGAAAATAATGACATTCAAATTAAATATAAAAAATGCTGAAATTATTTAAAATATTTAAAAATTATATTAACTAATAAAATTAAAAAAATCTACATTGTAAGGTCTCTGCACCGTGTGTAGCCCCTCCAGCATTCGAGTCCCGCTGCCAGCAGTCCTCATTGGTGCACAATCTATAATTTCCTATATAAATCCATATTGGTAGAAGCTGGCAATTGGGTGTCACGTGTAAGTCCTTCCGGTTCGAGGTTGTGGGTATGCTCTGGCGATAGTGGTGAGAGCAACCAATCTCCCCCTAAACTTTATATATATATATATATATATATTAAAACCCTACATTATTAAGAAACCTACATTAGAAGCTGCTAAAAATATGAGAATATTATAAAATATTGTTGGTGGGAATTTTCTAGCTGCTAAAAACCTACATTAGTAAGAAAATTAAAAACCTAGCTGCTAAACTATGAGAATATGAGAAAATATGGTTTGTGGGAATTTTCTATATAATCTCCTCTTTGTAAGAGGTCATATTTATAGTACAATAAAACCTAGTAGGTCAAGGAAAGTAATAACTCCTAATTCTATTTACATCAGGAAATCAAGAATAAAAGTAAATCAATTACATTTAATATAGAAAATCACGCCAACACTAGCTCCCAACTCCAGCAGACACATCCCCCTCTCCATACCTCTGTCAAAACGAGGGTAACCAAATAAAAAAATAAAAAAAAACCCGGCAGCCCTACCCAAGACAAAGAGATACCATGAAGTTGCCTTCCACCCACTTTTACTCCCTTTTAGCTTTCTTCTTCTTATTCCTCTACTCCAATGTCTCATTCCCATTTCATCGTCTCCTGCGTCCTGCCCTAACTGGGCCGATACTTAAAAAAACCCTTGCAATTCATCGAATCTTGAAGATTCAAAACAACTGCAAAATCATGTCAAGGATCGAGGAGTATAGAGAATCGGTGAAGTCCAAGGGGCGCGCGAAATGGCCCAGTTCGGAGGAGAGACGAGCTGTGCATCCTGATGAGAATGAGCTTCTCCAAGGAATGGGTGGGAAGGTGGTCGTTGGGGTTGGGGAGTGGCTGCTGAGTTTTTCTGGTACCCTGATTTTGACAGAGGAATGGAAATAGGGAGGGTGCATGCTAGGTATTAGGAGGGTTTGCTAGGTTTTTAATTTTTTTTAACAAAGTTATTTTATTTTATTTATATAATATTTAAACATTTTAAATGATTTTATAATTTTTAATAGTTAAATTACCATAATACCCATGCCACGTCAGCAACTCAGCAATTTTTTAAAATCAAATTCATGGAATGGGGTAACGTGTCTCACGAAACAAAAGTTGAGAAGGAACGTGGTCATTTTAAAGTTAAGGAGGCGAGCTAAGACAAATTGCAAAACGCAGGAGCATTTCAAAAAATAAGCCTTCTTATTAAGCAAAGATTAATGGGGTGGGTTTACTATAATTAAACTTGACAATGATTCTTTATAACCATGTGGTATTGTATTAGTGTTTTAAAATGACCATAGTGTGAAGAGTTGTCTCCTCAAAGGCACTATTGAAGTCCTTGCCCATCCTAATCATTCAAAACTCAAAAAAGTCCTTAGACATGAAGCTAGTGACTCTCATACATGGATGGATGTGGCACATTTTATGACAAATGTTTACAATCAATAGGGATTTAAAAAAGCTGATAGATGAGTTGGTGCTACTGTCATTATTGTGTTAGAAATATATCGATTTCAATAATATATGGATTTCGGATTAGATGTGTACCCGAAACCCACCCTTTATAGCCTTTCCATGCTATTTCCTAGTATGTAGCATATAAAAGTTTTGAACACATTATATTTCTCAATTATACACACTTGTAGAAACCCAGCATTTCCAAGAGTTTTTGTTCATTCCGACTGGGTCAAAGACAACCCATATACATATACATATATATATATATATATATATATATATAGAGAGAGAGAGAGAGAGAGAGAGAGAGAGAGAATCTTGTCTGATTTTGCATGTAAATAGATCCAAACGGTACCCTCACTTGATATGATGTCCCAAAGGACCCCTCAAACACCCATATCAAACACCAGGATCTTAATTTGAAGCAAATATTTCCCATCTTTCTTT